ATTTTCACTGTCGTGTTTTTTCAAACATTTTTGAACCATGATTTTATTCGCGTTTTTGTTTAGATAACAAAAAGAAGCAGATTGGCACAGAACTCATCGAAATTGAGCCCGGTGTAATGCAAGTGAACTTTACACCTCAGGTTGTCGGTAGGCACAAATGTCGATTATGGATAATTTCTTTGCTAAATCTGTTTTTTCTTGTAGGAGATCATGACATCGAGGTTAAATATGGTGGAGTGCCCGTAACGGCCATTCCATTCACATGTAGAGCGTATGATCCGACAAAAATCAAAGTTGGTGCAATTCCTAAGGGCCTTTTGGATAAGCCCGTTTATTTCACAGGTACTACAATCACATTCTTCAATAAGTAAGGCTCTCAGGATAATGCTGATTTAGTGGATGCATCCGAAGCCGGAGTGGGAAACCTTGAAGTAGCTGTGAATGACGGGCGTGTACCATCCATGGCCCATGCCCTTGGTCAACATCGCTATGACATATCATTTGTACCTAAGGAGAATGCTGATCACACCATTACGATTAGATTCAACAACGAACCGGTGCCAGGTAATTGAAGATCAAATATGCATTATTTTATTCAAAACACATCGCTTAGGCTCACCATTCACTTGCCAACTTGTGTCTGCAGCTCAAGCTTCCGCCTCAGGACCAGGGCTTGAACGAGTACCTGTTGATGAGTTGACTGAAATCAAAATTCAAACCAGTGGTCAGTTTCGTCTCAAAAGGAATGGGTACTTGGTGACCGTGGTCTTTTCAAATGCGATATATACCATAAATTGCATTTTGAAATGCTGATTCCTTATTTCCTTGATATCTGCGAAACGATCTTCTGAAGTAAGTTATGAACTTTTCTTATAAAAAATTTGCCTATTTTTGTATAGTTAATCATCACCAGTGGTCCGCTTTACCGTTTGCTGCCATTGAAGAAAATCTTAGAACTAGTACTTTTTTACTCAGACTTTCTAATTCCCTATTCAGCAGTTGAATAGGAAAGAATATTTTTACTGATGATCATGACCCTCCGCAAAGCACTTATTCTCGAAAAAATGATCATATCTCCACCCGGGTTATCGTTTCGCAGATACGAAATCAAAGGCGCTTTTTCTGATATACAGTTAATTATGTATGACACGGTCTCCGGGTATCCTTCCCTGTTCAGAGAGCCCGCTTTGAACTTTGATTTATCTCCTAAATATAGCAGCCGATGCCGAACCTGAGGTACGAGTTCGCGATCCACAAGGTAACGACCTCCCCGTAGACATTTCACGCAGTCGCCATGATGACACCATGTGTGTAGCTACTTACACTCCAAAATGTGTCGGAAACCATCAGGTAAACAGATTCACTTTTGTATAGATTTTCCAATTCGAATCTCGTCTCTTCAAGGTTGACATATCGATGCTTGGTGAGCCTATTGCCGGCTCTCCTTTCACAGCCAAAGCTTATGATGCGAGAATGGCCCGGCTTAGCCAGTGCGATCAGGCCATCGTTGGAAAGCCATGCACTTTCGCCATAGGTATAGATAAATTCTATAATAGGATTGAACCATTACTATGGATTCTTAGATGCTGCCCGAGCTGGAGCTGGCAACATGGAGATTATAGTATCGGTGGATAATCGTAATGTACCGAATTTTGTCCAAGCTGAGGGCCAGGCAAAATTCAAGGTGTCCTTTACACCGCAAGAGGCTAAAGAGCATGTCATAAGCGTACGATTCAACGGTGTTAGCGTGCCAGGTACTCATACTGGTTTTTTCAAAATTCGTGCAGATTAAACAATGCTCTATTCAGGATCGCCAATGAGGTGCATGGTCGAGAATGCACCTTCATCTGCACTTGCGGCGGCACCGCTCGCTACCATGGCTCCGTCGGTGTCAACGGGATTGACGGGGGTTCCTCTAGAGCGACATGTTGTCGAGCGTACGGAACGTACGGAACGCTATACTACAGATCGAAGTGCCGAGAAGACATCGTTGAGCAGCGATCTGAAACATGCACAGGTCAGAATAAGCAAAACCACGGTTTATATTAGGTTGTTTCAAAAGTTCTACTCACTTTCGAACTTTGGATTTGATTTAACATAACTTTCTTCAGAATTAATCGTTGCAATTGCGACTACAATCCATAATCTTTGGCTATTTTACGCGTGCTCAAAAATCATTTCAGTAACAACAAGAAGATTTCATAAGTGAAACTCGAGAAACATCTTGTACAAACCCACACTTTGCAAAACCATGACTTATTTTGGAATGGGGTAGGATTGCACAAGCACTGCTCACTGTGTAGCCAATATTGAGCTGAGCAGTTTGCAGAAAAGTCCGAAAGGACCCACTTAATTTGCTTTTTCTGAGGCAGAAAATGCAGTGACATGTCTCGTATTGTACGCCGCTGAAAATTCAGGAGTTTTTTCATTTTTCCGGTAATAATTGTTCTAGGTTCAATCTGACTACTTCGAGCAAAAGCTTCGCGATTGCATTGTGTTTACGTTTTTTATGCGACGC